TGAAATACTTGAGCACCACAACAAGATAAAGGTAAATAATCCAATAGAAAAATGGGCACAGGATATGAACAGGCACTTCACCGAAGACGACATTCCGATGGCTAACAAACACATGAAGGAAATTTTTTTTTAACACACTCTATCATGCACAAAGAAAAAGTAGAGACATTCAAGGGTGAGTAATAACAGCGTCTTTTACAGACTTTTTGCAAGGAAACATCACAGTCCTTCAGGAGCCATTACTCCTGGGGCCAAGGGAGCCTGTGCACATTCTGAATATGTGTTATAGTTGCAAAGAAAGTCATAGGGTCCAGCCAGAAATGGAAACAAAGCCATGGAAAAATCTGGCACTTCAATTTCTGTCAGTACACTTGTCTGGATTTCAGAAGCAGTGATAGGAAATGAATATATGTGTTGACTTCTGAAAAAGTATTCATTTTATTGTAGAGTGTTTTAGAAATCAATTAGTTGAGTCAATGATTTTATCCTCTTCATTTTCTTGCACTGCTACAGACATGCTGCATAAAACCTTCATCCACAGGTTCTATATAATATACACTTGTAAACAATGCAAATATAACAACATATAAAATATATAACCTGGAAAAAGGTTCATATTTATTACTTTGATATTAAAAATGATGGCTCACTTTGGGGGGGGGGAATATTTAATGATCATCATTACAACCAGTCATTGTGACAAAAATGTCATGTTGGACCTTTATCTCCAGTTTACAGAGAGAAAATTGAGGCTCAGAGAACAGAAGGAAACAACATAGTTGAGTAATAATCTAGGGTGTTGCAAAGCCAGAATTGGAACTGGGCCTACGTGGCCCCAAGCCCAGAACCTTTCCACTCCATAGGCAATTATGGGCTTACATTTTTGGCAATATATATATATATAAAATTATAAATTTTTTTTTGCTTTATGATAAGCATTCCAAAATCGTCTAATCACTAGTTCCAGTGAATGTCCTACATGTGGATTCTCTAATAAACACCACCTGCATTTCATACACTTTGGAAAACAGCACTGGAAAGAAAGATAAGGAACTCTTCATACTCCTCTTTTCTCTCTCTCTCTGTGTAAAATGCCCTTTCTTTATAGCATAGCACATTTAAAGCAAAAACATTACTAGAGTAAATGTAGCTAAATAAAACACAGTGCACATGAATGAAACACAATGTAGGTGAATTATATTATGCAAAGCAATAAAAATTATGGTCTTAAAAAACCAACTAAGTGTAGTTTAAAGGCTAATCATAATAGTGGATGTTGATGTGCATCATATTCCCATAAGTATAGGTCTCTTTTCCTATTTCTTTTTTTAATGAAACAGGTTCAGAGAGACAAAGAAATCTTCCCAAGATCACACAACTCAATATGCTGTTCTCTTTGAAGCAAATTATATGTCCAAACACATATCTTCCACCCACTCTTCCCCAGGGTACCTGGCTCTTGGTTTTCTTAGGCTATTTAACTCTTCTCTGAAAATGAGAAGAACCACTTTTTAGTAAATTCCAACATGAGCAAAATAAACCTCTCTCTTATCTTTCCAGTTGTGAGACAAACGCCCACACAGAGCTTGAAAACCCCATTCCCGGCTCTGCACTGGGAGCACGAACTTGGCTTGGCCTTCACCAAGAACCGGATGAACTACACCAACAAATTCCTGGTTATCCCAGAGGCAGGAGACTACTTTGTTTACTCACAGATCACATTCCGAGGGACAACATCTGAGTGTGGAGTGATTGGCCTCCGGAGACAAGAAAGCAAGCCAGATGCCATCATTGTGAGTGTCACCAAGGTAACAGACAGCTACCCTGAGCCCACCCAGCTCCTAACGGGAACCAAGTCTGTATGTGAAATAGGCAGCAGTTGGTTTCAACCTCTCTACCTGGGGGCCATGTTCTCCTTGAAAGAAGGGGATAAACTGATGGTGAACGTCAGTGACATCTCCTTGGTGGATTACACAAAAGAAGATAAAACTTTCTTCGGTGCCTTCTTACTGTAGGACAGTGTGGAGCTCCCTGTGCCTCTGTCCTTATCTTCATTCCCATGAGGGGATTTTCTTGAAGTCAAATTCCACCAAGGCAGTTACTTAGCTGTAAAATTTAGGATCCCAAAGTTAACACTTTATGTGCTTTACTAATAAGAATGCCAATTGGAAATGGACAGAAGAGAGCAGATATATTAGTTTAATGGCTTAGAAGAGTTGTGAGTTCCTAAATATTAAAACCTTGATCAATGAATGGATGTATGATTACTCAGGTCCAGATTTTAAGAGGAACATTTCCATGTCTTTCAACTACACATTTGTCACCATTTGGGTCATTTGTCCATTTGCTTCAAGTTGAAGAGCCTTAAACAAAGTCCTGGTGAACAGTGTCTAGTCTTCATAGGTGAAATGCACATCAGTTACCCTAACTGAAAATCTTCAACACCCTGCATAGAAGTGTGAAAGAAGAGCTGATATCTCTTACAAACTTTCTTTAAAAAATAACTGGCTTTCATGTTAAGCCATATACAGTATATGAAAAAAAATTCCTTTAGTTATGGACACAAGATGTCAAAATAAGCAGTATAAGTTTCACAAGCATTTTGCAAGTACAACAAAGGCATGTATTCAGCCCAGTTCTCTTTAGCACCTGTTATATGCTGGGAATTGCTATGAAGAACAAATAGACTCTACTCCAAACTCATACAGGTACCTTTAGACGTTTCCTGGTCAAATATCACAAAATACAATCCAAAGATAAAACCCCAAATCCTAATATCACCTGGCACTGTTACATAAGCTTTCTGGGGCTCTCCTGATTATGTAAGACATCTACCTGATTCGGTCACTCAAAGAACTTGAGGACGTGACTAATGCTAGAGATCATGAACTTATTCTCTGGG